TCTGGCAATGGTGGCAATGTTTGTTAAAGGCTCACCTTCCCACCGAAAACAACTAGAACACTCAGACAAGATACTTTTTTAAATGTATTTATTGGCTTCAGAGAACTACCAATCTGAGGAGGACTTGAGGAGGACTTGAGGGGACATTCCTGGGGAGAAAACTGCAGATAATTGAATCCAATATTCATCACCACTTTTGCTCTCTTGGTGTTCACAGGTTTCAAACAACAGCTAAAAGGTTGAATGCCTGGTCAGAAAGTAGCAACTGAAAGACTAGACAGAGCATTGATAGTCTCAGTTGGGGAGGGAAGCAGAAATTGGAGTTCCAAGATCACCACAGAGAAGGTGCCCTGGTAACCACAGTATGCTTTCAGTTGGGACTCACACTGCCTATACCCTAGGCATCATGGTGAACAAAATAAATCCAACCTCACAAAATCTGCCTACCTTCAAATCATCTCAATCCCAGGTCTGAATAAGTTACCCTGTCCCTAGGGTAACTTAATGCCAGACACAAACAGGTCCTCTGGAAAATTGTAACATCATACAAAACTCCAGATTAGCGTAACAGCTCTTATATACATGTCTAAGCATGCTAGGAGAGGAGATTAAACAGCCAAAAACCAACAAAAAAGAATGGACAGTAGAAACAGACTAACACAAAATCGAGATGTTTGAGTTCCAGAGATTATAAAGTAATTGAAATTAATTTGTTCAAGATATTATATGATGAAATGGAAAATGGAAAATCACTAACTAAACTTTTTAAAAAGGATCAAGTATAAATGCTGGAACAGAAGAATACAATTGGAATTAAAAATTCAAGAGAGGGGCTTAGCAGCAGCCAAAAAGATAATGGCTATCTGGAAGATAGGCCAGAAGGAAATAGCCAGGCTGTAGGAAATCCAAATCTTGATAAACACAGTAAAATTTTGAAGGTCAAAGTAAAAGAGAAAATCCTAAAAGCAGATAAGGAAGGGGTAGTGGGACACATTACCTTTAATAGAGTGCCAATAAGACTGACAGTTGAATTCCCAACAGTAATAATTGAAACCTGATGGACATGTCCCCAGATGACCTTAGTGACCAATTCTTACTTTCTTTTCTCACTTAGAATTCTCAAGAATAACTATAGAATGTGCTGGGAATACAACAGCCTGAGATAAGGAGGAACGGGCCAAAACAGCTTGGGCTCTGTTCCAGTCCCTCCTAGAATAAGATCTTTTGCAACACTTTAGCCCAGTGAATACAGTTTCCTATGGTATAAAACCCAGGGTGGAACACACCTTCAGGGAACCTCAGCTGTGGTGAAAAGTGGGATATATGCATAGGAGACTCCATCCTCCCTGGACAGCTTTCCTGAGCCTTAGGGAACCAGCTCATCATGGATCCTAGGCTTCTATGATCCTCTGCTGCCTATCTATGAGTATAAAAGTTGCTTCATTTAACTTCTTATGTTACCAGACTCAAGCACGTGAATTGATGCTAGTGCAGTGTTTAGAGTCCTGCTTTGAGATTGATACCAGTACATAGTGAACATGCTTCACAAAGCCTGGAAACAATGGAATGATGCCTGCAAACTGCTGGAAAAAAAAAAAACTGGGCTTCTACTTCCAGTATGGTAAAGTAGCTGCTACCATACCCAAATTTCCCATATATCACAACTATAAACTCTGAACAAAATTAGAAAAAAAAAACCTAATGACATTGGAAAGTGAACAAACAGGTAAATTGTGAAAGAAAGTAGACACTTGGAAAAAAGAAACGGCACAGGGTGAGTTACCCATTTTTACAGCATTTTGCCTGAGTATAGGCCAAAGTCAGTGCTGCACACTGTGTTCTGATAGAACTCCAACAGAAAACCTCTACCTCACTGGCTTGCAAATGGTAGAAAACAGAGTTCAGGATAATCAGCCACTGGAAGGAAGAGGGAAATCTCAGAAAGGATACAGTCAGAAAGGATGACCACAATTTCTCTGTTTAAACTGATCAAATAAATCTCTGGCTAATACTCAAAGCACACATCCCCAAGGCAGATTATAGCTAAGAATATGAGCTTTGAATACCTGTGGGATGATAGCAAAATATCCAACATACATATAACTGGATCCCAGAAAAAGAATAAAGACACAGTAAGACATAAATAATAAAGAAATAATTGCCAAGATGTTTTTCCAAATTTAGTGAAAGACAAATTTACTCAGTGATTCGTGAGCAGGACATGTACACATAAAATGACATCAATATTATCACAGTCAAACTGCTGAATACCAAAGACAAAGAGAAAATCTTGATAACAACCAGAGGAAAAAAAAACACAAAATACACGGCTGAACAATTTCTCAAAATATCATGAACTTCTCATTTGAAAGCAAGATACCAAAGACATTGGTAAAAACATTTAAAGTTCTGGAACAGAAAGTTATCAACCAAAAATTCCACATCCGGAGAAAATAAACTTCAAGAATAAGGGCAATATAATGGCATTTTCAGAGGAAAGGAAATCATTGCCGGCCTGGAAGTCTATACCAGTGAAAATATCCCAAAAGAAAGAGTGAAATAAAGATGTTTTAAGACAAAGAAACATTGAAATAATTTATTGCCAATAGATCTGTACCAAAGGAAATTCTACAGAGGGTTACGTGAGAAGATGAAAAGAATCTCAAATGGAACTTGGAAATGCAGTAAGAATTAAGAGCCACAGAAAAGGTACGTGGGAAAACATAAATGAATATGTAATGTAAAAACTATATAATCATGTCTCGGCAGTTAAAATACACACAGAATAAATATAAATGACAATAGTAATACAAATCAGAAACCAAATGAAGTTAAAATGTTCTAAGGTCCTTGAATTGCTTGGGTTGGGGTAAAAGTACTGTTTTACATGTAGTGAATCTGACCTGTGCCAGTCAGATCTCCCCTTCAGGACTTAGGGACTTACTTCCTCAGCTGTCCCCTCTCTTTGGGAGGTGCCATCAACTGAAAAAGGCCACCTTGCCCAGTGAAATGCCCCCTTCCCAAGGCTGCCTGCATCCAATAACTGCTCAGTGTGTGGATATAAAAGTCTGGCGCCTCACCCAAACTCAAGACAATGCTGAAAAGCCATCCCAACTTCCAGGGTTCCCTGGAGAGGGCTTTAGTCTTTCATTCCAATTGCAGCACAACCCAACTTCTCCCTTTGACAAACCTGCTTCCATTCCTTCCCTTCCTCTAGTGTTAAGCCAAAAACATTTCCCCAGGAAACTTCCTGAACAATAACTACACCTCAAAGTCTAACTCCTGGGGGACCCAACCTGAAACATTATATTAGACTTTCATAAGTCTAGGAGATATGTTTAAAATCTAGAATAACCTCTAAAAGAGTACAAAAATAAAATGTAAAATTAGCAAACTAAAAGAGGGAAAAAATCGAATAATAAAAAATAATCCAGACTGGGCATGGTGGCTCATGCCTGTAATCCCAGCATTTTGGGAGGCTGAGGTGGGTGGATCACCTGAAGCCAGGAGTTCAAGACCAGCCTGGCCAACATAGCAAAAACCTGTCTCTACTAAAAATACAAAAATTAGCCAGGTGTGGGTGGCACACGCCTGTAATCCCAGCTACTCGAGAAGCTGAGGCATGAGAATTGCTTAAACCCTAGAGGAGGAGGTTTCAGTGAGCTGAGATTATTCCACTGCACTCCAGCCTGGGCAACAGAACAGAGACTCTGTCTGAAAAATAACAGTAATAATAATAATCCAAAGAAGGCAAGAAATGAGACGAAAGGGAACATAGAACAGGTAGGAAATAAACAAATTAACCAGATGACTATTAAACTTATGAAAAGACACTTAACCAGTAATAATCAAGAAAATACAAATTAAAGCAATATTGTTCATTATTCATCCATCAGATTTGGAAAGATTTAAAGGATGATACCATCCAGCACCAGCAAGGATTCCAGATCATGGACTCTTTCATATGTTGCCAGTAAGAATGTAATCTGTTACCATCATTTGCAAAAGCAACCTGGTAATATATGTTTAAATTAAATATTATTGACCCTTTGTAGCAGAAGCTATTCAAAAAAAATTGTTTCCTCTTGTTTGGGGCACACCTACACTACATTTTTCTGATTCCTCTGTGGCAGACGACTGAGTCCTAGCTCACGTATGACACTAAATTCATTTGTTAACGGTGGCAAAGCCCCTGCAGCCTAAACTCCAGAGTGATTATGAGTAGCAGAGACCCCTCTGAGCATCCAGAACTAACATGGACTATTCACTTTTATTATGTTTGAAATATGATATATTATAGGGTCTGTTTGTTACAGCAGTTTGCTTCCTCAAACCTATATATCCTTCGACCCACCAATATTACGTATAGGCATCTGTCTTTAGAGGTAAAAGTATGGAGTACATAAGGCCCTATGTGTAAGGAAACATATGACCAGAGCAATCTAAATGTCCATTAGTAAGAGAAAAGAGTTGCATTAATTGTAATACATCCATACTAAAGAATATTATGCAACTATAAGGAGTTATCTCTGTGCCTACTGACCTGGAGGACTACCATGATGGTTAAGGTGAAAAAAAGCCAACCTGATATAAATGCTTAATATAATTTCTTTTTGTAAGAAAAGAGAAACTGACCCAAAAAATGACATATACATGAGTGCATATATTTGCATGAGGATGGAGAAAGGCATGCAAAAATATGAATCAAGTTTGTAACATTAATTATCTCAGGGGTGTAAAAATGAGCAAATACAGGCTATGGGAAATAAAAAAAGAATAACAGAATGGAAGACTATCTCAGTGTACTACTGAATGAACATGCAGAATATAAAATTGAATCATTAAATATTAAATCAAATATGTAAAAATTAAATATACATGTATGTAGACAAGGATGAGAAGGTAATATCAACTTATATAAAATTCACTTTGTCTTAAATGTTAATATTTTAATGGTACTTTTATAATTTTTTTAAAAGTTGAAAAGGCTTAGCCCTTACCTGGATTGGGCTTTTCATGCCACATAGTGACCATTTATTTAAACTGACCAGCCTGGATTTGAGACTATGTACTGGTTGTATGGAATTGTATGAGTGTCCTGTTGAGCCCAAAAGTCCACATCACTATGAGGGTGGAGTTTTCCCTGAAAAAAAAAAAATGTTTCCATAGCCAGTCATCCCAGGTAGAGTTCAAATCTGGAACAGGAAATGAAGGCACAAGAGGCAAGTCTTAGACTAGAATAACTTGTTAAACTTTAATGTTCTTACAAACCACCTAGAAGGTTTATACAGATTATATTTCAGTGGGTCTAGGGCAGGGCCTATGATTCTGCATTTCTCACAATTTCCCAGGTGAAGCTGATGCTGCCAGTACTTGGACTATACTTTGTACAGCCCAAGGACTAGTGTGAGGGAAATCTTTCTACTCTGGCGGCAGAAGCATGGTACAAGGCAGAGGGGGCAAGGGGTTAGCCAAATTGCCCCAGATAAAGCAGGCATAAAACCAGGAGCTGGTCTGCCAAGACACTCTGAAGATAGCCTGAGACATGCACACTTCAGTTGCGAGCTACTGTGCATATGCACTTCCCCTCCATCATCCTTGAACTTTCTGTGAAGTCTTGTTAAAAGTTACATCCGGCTGGGCACCATGGCTCACACCTGTAATCCCAGCACTATGGGAGGCCAAGGCAGGTGGATCACGAGGTCAGGAGTTGGAGACCGGCATGACCAACATGGTGAAACCCCGTCTCTACTAAAAACTACAAAAATTAGCCAGGCATGGTGGCACATGCCTATAATTCCAGTTACTCGGGAGGCTGAGGCAGGAGTATCGCTTGAACCCGATAGGTGGAGGTTGCAGTGAGTGGAGATTGAACCATTGCACTTCAACCTGGGTGACAGAGCGAGACTCCCTCTCAAAAAAAAAAAAGTTACATCCCAGTCTCTGCTGCATTGTCAGGAATTACAAGGGATAATTCCTGGAAAGATTGATCCCATGCCTATGATGAATTGTCAACGTTAACAGCTGTTTCGTTGTTACCTCAGGTCTGTTTCCCCTGAGGTTAATGTAATGATTGCAAAAGGTTCCCCACAGGAGGAGCTCTTGTGGTCTCTGTCCAGGTGGTATGAGGAGCCGAAGCTGCCAAATAGCACCCTTGTGGAGAGAAGAACTAAGGCTATTTCTGAATAGGGAGCAGCACTCCAGCATATCCACCAAATAAACATGAACCAAGCTAAAATGGCTTAAGCAATAAAAGAGGGTTATTTTCTCATGTAACAAAGAGCCTGGAAGTTAAGAAATGGCAGGGTTGGGTGGTTCCCAATCCAATGACACCATCAAGGACTTTCTGTCTTTCTGCTCTGCTCTCCCAGGTATGTTGGCTTTTGTCTCAGGCTATCCCATCTCAGGCCAGATGACTGTGGATGTTTTAGGCATCACAAGCTCACACAAACTTAAAACAGAATACTCCTTCCTTGTATCCCTCTTTAATGGCAAAGATAACTTTTCCAGAAGTACCCTCTTTCTCCAGTGCTCCTTGCAACACATGAGCTAGAATTGCACTATATGCCAAGTGCCTATACCAACCACTGAACTGGGAAACAAGATACCCTTGCATGGCTTACAGGAATAAGATGCTCTATCTTTATGGGAGTGGGGTCTAAGCTCTCTGAACAATGCAGCTGCCTGATACCCAAACAAAACTGTGGTCTGTGAGTAGGGAAGTACCTGGACTGGGGACATGTACTGCTGTTGGGGTTGGATAGAGGGGATGACTTTGGGAAAAGCAGACAGTGGTGTCTTCCACTCCTGAAAAACACCCATAAATATATGGAGAGTACTTTGAGGGGTGTTATTTTCCATCAATAAAGGCATAGGTGATCAAGATATCATCATGCAGTCATATAACAACCCTGGAAGACAAAGGAGAAGAAAAATCAAGGAAGTGAATAGAGATAAAGTTTCACCAAGAAATATAAAGCTCCAAACAAAGGGCCCCATGTGAACTATGCACATTCTTACTGTAGTGCTTTTACCTGTACAGTCTAAACTGCCTCACCCCTACATACACACACTCACACCCTTACCTGGCACACCCTCTTGTCTTTTAGCAAAGACCTTCATTCCCTCCATTTCAAGTCTGTCACACCTCAGAAATTTCTCCAACCAATCCAGCCTACAATAATTTCTCCATTCTCTGTATTCCTTGAGGATTTATAGTGTATAACATACATACTCTGTCATCTAACTATAGTGTGCATTTTCTGGAACTGTTAGTTTATATACCTGATTATAACAGAATGTTAAAATGGTACTGGAACTCTTTCTGGCTCAGTTACCTCTGGAACATCTAGAAAATAGGTATCAGCTATCTTCACTTTCCAAAGCAAGATGTTAAACCATCTATGCAAGAATTCCAAGGAAAAGGCCTCATAATTTTGAACATTCTCACCACAAAGAAATGATGTGTTTGAGGTGATGGATATGGTAATTATTCTGATTTGATCATTACACAATGTATACATGTATCAAAACATCACACTGAACCCCATAAATATGTACAATTATTGTGTCAATTAAAAACAAAATAAAACTTCTAAAAAACGGGAAAAAATAGTCTGAGAAACAGTTTTGTGATCATTGTCCTTAATGGTATAAAATATTGAAATGGAGCAACCTGGGAAATAGACATTTTCATTCTCCTATTAGTGTGCTTTCTGTCTTAACACCCCCTTACCAGGTTGGATTTAACTGCCAGTGAAAGAAAACACAAACAAATGCCTTCTAAAAGAAAGAACTATATTTCTCTCTCATGTAAATATCTAAAGTAATGGTTCAGGGCTGCTATAGTGAATCTATCCACATTCCCACCAGTAATAAAGTTAAAAGTAAAGGAGAAATATCTAAGTCCTTTTGATTTCACACACACACGCGCGCGCGTGCGCATGCACGCACGCACACACACACACACATTTTTTATAGCCCATTGGCCAGAACTGAGCAGCATAACTAACCCTAGTTACAAGGGATCCTGGGAAATGTAATCTTTATTCTGAAAAGCCATATGCCCAGCAAAAAGTCAAAGGCTACATCACTGTGGAAGATACGGTGAGAAAACTAGGTGTTTCTTTCATAATCCACCTCTTTTTTTTTTTTTTCTTGTGATAAGATCTCGCTGTTACCCAGGCTGAAGTGCAGTGGCACAATTATAGCTCACAACCTCAACCCCGCAGATTTAAACAATCCTTCTAACTCAGATTCCCAAGTAGCTGGAACTACAGGTGCACATCACCATGCTCAGCTAATTTTTTAATTTTTTGTAGAGAGGGGATCTGCTATGCTGCCCAAGCTGGTCTCAAACTCCTGGGCTCAAGCAATCCTCTCTCCTTGGCCTCCCAAAGTGCTCAGATTATGAACCACTGTGCCTAGCCTCACAATCCACCTCTTTAACCCTAAAAATATCCATGTGCACCCATACCCTTTCCACAAAAGAAGGCAATGACCCAACCAGTCTGCAGCAAGCTTAAATCCAGAGTGTATGACTGGTGCTCAGTCCTCTCCATCAGGCCCAGATGTAGCTCTTAGTGGTCAGGTGATCTATATGCTAATAGTAACTTACCTTCCTACCACATACCAAAAATTAAAATGGTAGAGAAGAAACAAGATAACAATTTCTAAAGACTCTCATTTGAAAATGGGAGAAGGGGAAATGCCCAAAAGTCACTGGCCCATAACTATTGTCATATCCCACTGGACAGGAATAGCAAAGTCTCCTATCCTTGATAGTGAAGCACCTTCCCTGGTTAGACACCCTGGCAGCTTCTCACTCTCCTTCCTGAGAATAATTCCCTTTTCCATTGGCCCTGGCTTTTTCCTCTGGAAGTTTCTCCCTTATCTATCATGCTCTTGAACACATCTGAAATGGGCCTTGGAGGGTACACACAATCCTTTTTCACACCCTCTTCCTGCTAATGCAGCCTCTGGAACACAGGCATTACTCTAGAGATTGCTGTTCACAGGCTTTTTTGTTTCCAATATGATTCCCTCAAAATTTTAGTGAGCTTCCAGTTTATCTGTTTCCCTGTGTGAAAAAACACAGACAAAGATGTCATCTAGACAAAGTGTTTAAGCCTAAAGTCTCAGGCTTTTTCCTTACTGGCCAGTGTTTGGCCACATCTCTTTCTCTTTCTCTCTCTCCCTCTCTCGCTCACTCGCTCGCTCACACACACACACACACACACGCACAAAACATAGCAGCAGCTGAAACAAAAGGTTTGGTAAGATCTGATTTTTGCAGCCAGCTAAGCTGATTCTCATTTTGGCAGAGAACTCTTAAAGTAAGTTGCTTGAAGAGGGTTTGGGGTAACAGTGCTACACATTAGCAAGGCTGTCATTTCGCAGCCACCTCTTGGAGCTGCTTCCAAATTGGGGTACAGACATAGTTAGCTTAATTAACACTTCAAGCACCCCCAAATATAGACTCTCAGTCAAATTAGAGTGCAGGCTGCAGCACAGAGTGCCTCCCTTAGCAAAGTGACATTACCTTCCACATCCGCTTGCAGACTGACTAGCTCTCAGCTGAATTCAACTCTCTCCTGTAGAACTTTGCTAAAAGCAGCAAAAAGCAGCCAAACCACCAACATTCTAGCCTTTTTCTACCACTTTCACTAACACGTGGTCTGCCTTTCAAGGTATAGCAGATGCAATTTGACCCAATGTTTTGCTACCATCTAATGGGGGTGACCTTCTTCCTATTCTACAGCATCTATGTTCCTGCAGCCTGTCATCTGCCCAAGCTCATGCTTAGCACTTCATCTCAAGACAAAATTCTGAATTAGTTAGGATTAGGTTTGGTTATGTCAGACATCTCATAACAATAGCGGGGTTTTTTTGTTGTTGTTGTTGTTGTTGTTTTTGACCTCTGAACTTTTTATTGGCCTTCTGCTCCCCAAAAGGTCCCCTGCTTCTTCTGGATTAATGTCTCAGGACTTTGGTGTTGTTGGTCTCAGACCCCACTTTGCTATCAACTATCCATCCAATGGGTGGTGGTGTTTTGGATGGTTTGTATGGAGTTGCTCCTGTCCAGGGCATCATCAAGATTGAAGTCCTCACCATCTTCCAGCAGGTGGCTGTAGATGGTGATCTCAGCCTCCAGCTTGACCTTGATGTTCAGCAGGGCCTGATACTCATAGGTCTGGCACTGTCCCTCTGCCCGGGTCTGTGCCAGCTCTGACTCCAGGTGCAGCAAGATCCTGTTGAGCTGCTCAATCTGCAGGGTGCAGTGGGCCTCCATCTCCCTCAGACTGTTCTCTAAGCTGGCCTTCAGATTTCTCGTGGAGTCCAGGTTGATCTCCAAGGACTGGACTGTAGGTCTCAGCTCCATAAGCATCATCTCAGCAGCTCCAACCTTGGTGGACTGTGAGGTGACCACTGTAGAGCTCTCCTCAATCTGCTGAGACTAGAACTTGTCCAGCTCCTCTTGGTTCTTCTGAGCCAGCTCATCATATTGGGCCCAGATACCTACCATGATCTTGGTGAGGTCCTGAGTTTGGGGGCATCTACCTCCACAGTCAACCCAGAGCTGGCAATCTGGGCTTGTGGTTCATCTTCATGAAGAGCAGCTCCTCCTTGAGAGCCTCGATCTCTGTCTCCAGCTGCAGGCGAGTGGCATTGGTGTCATCGGTGACCATGTGGAGCCCATGGATGTCGCTCTCCACAGGCTGGCACATGGCCAGCTCTGTCTCATACTTGACTCTAAAGTTATCAGCAGCAAGACAGGCATTGTCGATCAGCAGAATGATGCAGGCATTGTCCACAGTATTTGCAAAGATCTGAGCCTTCAGGTCCTGGATGGTTTTGAAGTAATGGCTCCAGTGTCTGACCAGGGGTCCCTTCTTCTCCAGGTACTCCCTAATTTTGCTCTCCAGCTTCCAGTTCTCAGTCTCCAGGCTCCTCACTCTGTCCAGGTAGGAGGCCAGGCAACCATTCAGGCTTTGCATGGTTTCCGTCTCATTCTGGATGCCTCCCCTTCCTGCCAGACCCCTGGCCATCCCTGCAGCCAGGGACCCAGACCCCATGTCACCCCAGAAGCTGGTGGACATGGAGATCCAGGAACTAGAGCCCCTGGCGCCTACATAGATACTGGCCATGCTGCTGACCAGCTGGGCACTGTAGCTAGGTTCCTGGACAGAGCCCAGGGACTGGTAGTTGTTGGAGAAGGTGGAGCGAGTGGCGAAGCTCATGCTGTCCAGGGAGGAGAGCAAGAGAACAGGACTCAGGCTTCGCTGACGACGAATAGTGGGTTTTAAAAGATGGAAGTTTATTTCTCTTGTACATGAAAGTTTGAGTAGTCGGTATAAGTATGACTCATCAGGGCCCAGACTGCTTCCTGCCTCCTGCCAGACCTCCTCAACATGCTGTTTCCACTTCTGCGACCAAGATCTCAGCCAACGGCCTTCCATTCAGCAGGAAAGCAGATTGAGGAGAAGAGCATGCCATCTCCTTTTAAAGATATTTCCTGGAAGTTGCCTAGACTGTATGTACCCAATATGCCACTGACAGAATTTAGTCCCATGACGACAGGACTCAATATGTCATTGATCAGAATTTAGTCCCATGGTGGTTAGCTGCAAGGGAAACTGAGAAAGTTGTCTTTATTCTGAAAAACCACATTTGCAGCCAAAACTCTATCACTGTAGGAAAAGAAAAAAAGGAAAAAAAAATTGGAGGACAACTAGTGTTTTCTGCTGAAGTGGTATTTCCCCTCACCTCAAGCCTGGTGAAATGAGCTTCCAGGAGACAAAATAGAGCTTGTCCGAGGTCCCCTGAAATCTATGGGGTACCAGAGGATGATGCCAGAACACTGGATGGATGAGCCTGAAGGGAGAGGGTGGGCAGCAGGGCTGAAAGA